ATATAATATCAGTCAAGAAAAAATAAGAATTCTGATAACATTTATATTAGCAAATGGATCTGAAGCTATTAATCTGAAAAAGTTATTAAGAAATGCTTTGTTGAAGTAAAATTTGAAAATTTTATTAGTTATGTGTCGTCATCGTAGATGAAAGCATAATTCTGATACCATTTACGACTGGAAAGCAACGATCACTGTGCATCATTACTATGCAAAATAATGACTAAGAAACCATAAACTTCTTGATTAGGTGAATCTCCAACAACACCGGAAAAGCTTCAGTAACACAACTGAAACTGTTGTCGATTAATGAGATTACTCTGATTCGGCTGAACAGTTTCAAATCTCACAGAGGTCACGAATTTGACGGAAACCTTATCAACTGGACACGGCTCAGCGTGAAAACGTTGTTCAATTGTGGTACAATTCATGTGTGTTTTTCAGAGATACGATTCAACGCAATATCGATATGTGTTTCGGTGGTTTTAGGGATGAGATACGCGTTCGTCTGTGAAACGTACCGGCAAAACAACAGATTGTCAAATTCAGAAATGAAGCGAGACTACCGCATCAAACCAGATATTGTCGCTTTGTTTTCTGAGCAGGTGTCTGCATCCGTANGCTGTTCCCAAACCGCTCATACGATCGAACATATCGATACGACTTCGAATCGAGTAACGTTCTCGTTGTGGGTTGTTACGATCGAGTGTGGCCGCATCCAATGCCGACTGATCACTGACGATTTGTGGATCTGGTGGTGCACTAGCAGCTGATGTCGAACGTGAAGGGATCGCGATCGAGGTCAGATCCAGTTGACTTCCACGACTCGAATAGCTGGCTTTCGAACGAAGACTCGCCCTCAAATGTATATTTTAAGGAAAGGCTTGTTGAATTGATTGAAACGGTCAGTCTGATTGTGAGGCACTGCGAGGCAGTTGAAGATGAGAGATGATCATTGAATTTCGAAGAACTACTTATTCTCCGAAAATATTTATTTATTTGAGAGGATAAAATTCAACAACTTGTACATTTATTATCCGATTAACGGAAGAGTTAGGTGACTCGGGGCTGAAGTTTCAGTGGATCTATGAAATATTCTCAGTAAACGTTAATAACTCTCAGCCTTCTTCATTTCAAGATGGTAATCTCTCTTCCAC